AAAAAAAAAATGAGCTCCAAATAATACATCCATGGAGAATCACGTACAGACAGGCTCTCCTTTGCCTCATTTTTTAATCCCTAATTCAACCCTAACCTACAAATTCAGGACATTAAATCCATTCCTCAAATCCCCATAACTAAAAGAATCCACTTCACATTCTCCCCGACCTTAGTCTTCATAGTCACGCCGTTAACGCCGGCCACAATCACGTAGATCGCCAAAAACATCCCTTGCTCCCCAATCCCCGACAGCCTCAGAATCCGGTCGCTAGCCTCCTTTAAATCCCCAATATCCCTCTCCAAATACAGATCGACTACGTAATTCCTGTTGTTCGTCACGTAGATCTCCCCATCCTTCCCGCACCTTCTGAGATCACCCAAACAGCCCCTATCGGCCAACAGACCCACCAGGCTTCTCCGGGAATGCTCATAGCAAAAGAGGATAACCTCGACGGGAATGGCCAGACGATTGCCCGATGTACCTCACCAGCTTGGATTCATCCACTGTGACCATGTGGCTCCTCTACCTGGAAACTCCCGACACTTCTATCGACCTATCCGACCCGAACCCGAAACCCCCGACTCCCCAAATCCACACGCGACTTCACCCACCGCCCTTATACCTCCATCGACAAGCACAACAGCCGCCTCCAGTCCAACAACGCCTGGAAAACCGCCAGGGCCTCCTACGCTTTCCTCATGAAGGTGCCCCAGGCCCGAAACCACCTCTCGAACGACTCGCAGACCCTGGTCATCTCCGCAGGCTGGGCCACGCTGTGCTAGCTCTGCAGATGGGCGTGGAGGACATCACTGGGGTAGAGCTGGTGGACTCGCCGCCGCTGGTGAGCCGGGCGGATCCTCACAATCTACTCTTTCTTTACGGGATTTTTTATCTGGGTCTCGGGCTATACCTTGATCGGCCCTTTTTCCGAGCTGGCTCATGGGGAAAATGGATAGGATAGAGAGGGGTGGTGGGGTTTGTATGATGACAGTGGATGAGTGCATTGGAGAGTTGCTGCATTTTTTGTGGATTTTTCTTGCATTTTTTGTGGATTTCTTATTGGAGAATTGTTGCATTGTTGTAGTGAAAGTTGGAAATCTAAATAATTTTATTATGTGTTCTTGAATTTTTCTTGCTAATCTATATTCTACAAGGCTTTATTAGACAGTTCATCACCATAAACCAATGTAGATTATAAAATAAATAATACAAATTAAAAAATTCCAAATAAATTATTTTTGTGAATCCTCTATCCCAAAAAGCTGCTCTAATGAGTTTTTTTTCTAAATTAGAGTTTTGGGCCCAAAAAGCTTATCAAATAAGCTATTTACCAAACAAGCTCAATAACGGATTTGACGGGTCAAATCTCTCAATTAAGTTCAATCCGCTATTTTATCTTCAATCCGCTATCTTCCAAACGGGGCCATAGTTTGATTTATGAAGATTTCATTACTGCTTGCACAGACTTTCTGTTTGAAGATATAATGGATTCAAGAAATCATGATTAGTCAAATAGTACCAGTTTTACAACAAATAATACCAATAGTTCTTGTACGTAGTACCTGTTTGCATTCAATTAGTACCTATCTTGGTCAATGAAAATGGATTATTTAATTTTGTTCAACATTTGCGAGATTAGTACCGCCCTAGAGTTAGATAATACTCATTAAATGGAGTTTTAGTGCAAGATATCGGGTTTTCAGTACCAACTCCGACGAACACCGAATTTCGGTCTCAAATGATGTTTATATGACCCATTATCACTCTCATATTAGTTTATATGAGATTTATAATGTGTTTAATTAAGTTTAATCGCAAATCCGTCACGAACTCAACACACTAATGAAAAAACACTATTAATACACTTCATCTCATTGAATGATCATACATGACTACTCCAAATTCTAACTATATGTTTGAACTTCCACTATTTCTCAACCAAATCACACGTGAACGATCTACGTGGCATTGTAGACATGGAAGATTAAAGAAATCACGATTACTAAAACGGTACCAATTTTGACAGAAATAGTACCCCTTCTTCTTCTACGTAGTACCTTTTTTTAATCAATTAGTACATATTTTTGGTCAACGAAAATGGATTACTTCAATTTTGGTGAACATTTGCACATATTGGTACCAGACCTACAGTAAGATAGTACCAGCTTTTGGTGTTTTAGTACCAGATATCAGGTCTTTTGTACCAACTTCGACGAACATGTACCCATCCTTCAGATTCGGTCGACCGCCACCACCTGCCCCTGACTAGATTTGACATTTTGGACTCCATGTCAGGTCACTCTGACCAGGACGACCTTTTATGAGGATTTGATTTTAGATCCACATCGGATATTTTTGTGATCCTTGTATTTTTTATTTTTTTCTGCTTTTGATGTTGCTCTATGTATTTTCGACTTGGATGTAGACCATTGACTTTTTAGCCCTTCTGGGCCATTATATTCACAGGTCAGGGGTGTAGCCTCAACCCCCATCCCCCAACAAAAAAAAAAAAAACTCCGCCGAACATAAAAAAACACCGAATTTTGGTCTCAAATGATGTTTATATGACCCATAATCACTCTCATATTAGTTTATATGAGATTTAAAATGTTTTTAAATGAGTTTAATCGCAAATTGGTCATGACCTCGACACACTAATGAGAAAACACTACTAATACACTTCATTTCATTGAATGACACACTTCATCTCATAGAATCATCATACATGGCTACTCCAAATTTTATCTACATGTTTTAACTTTCACTATTTTTCATCCAAATCATGCGTGAACGATCCGCGTGTCATGGTAGACATGAAGTATTAGAGAAATCATGATTCTTAAAATAGTACCTATTTTAGCCATAATAGTACCAAATTTTTTTCTACGTGTTACCTGTTTTTGATCGATTAGTACCTACTTTTGTGAATGAAGATGGATTATTTCAATTTTAGTCAACATTTACAAAAAGTAGTACCAGACATAGAGTAAGATAGTACCAGTTTTATATTATCGTAGTACCTGATATTGGGTCTTTAGTACCACTTGTAATGAACATATAAAAACACCTAATTTCGGTCTCGAATGATGTTTATATGAACCATAATCACTCACATTAGATTATATGAGATTTAAAATTTTTTAATTGAGTTTAATCACAAAATGGTCATGAACTCGACATACTAATGAGAAAAACACTACTAATACACTTCATTTTATTGAATAACACACTTCATCTCATAGAATCATCATATATGACTACTCCAAATTCTACCTATATGTTTTAAATTCTGCTATTTTTCATCCAAATCATGCATGAATGATCCACGTGTCATGATAGTCATGAAAGATTAGAGAAATCACGATTCCTAAAAGAATACCTGTTTTAGCCATAATAGTACCGCATGTTTTTCTACGTGGTACCTGTTTTTGATCGATTAATACCTACTTTTGTGAAGAAAAATAGATTATTTCAATTTTGGTCAACATTTATGAGAAATAGTACCAGACATAAAGTAATATAGTACCAATTTTATATTGTTGTAATACCGGATATTGGGTCATCAGTACCACTTGTAATGAACACTTAAAACACCAAATTTCAGTCTCAAATGATGTTTATATGAACCATAATCACTCTTACATTCATTTATATGAGATTTAAAATGTTTTTAATTGAGTTTAATAGTAAAGTGGTCATGAACTCGACACACTAATGACATAACACTATTAATACACTTTATTTCTTGAATGACACACTTCATCTCATAGAATTATCATACATGACTACTCCAAATTTTACCTATATGTTTTAACTTCCACTATTTTTCATCCAAATCACGCGCGAACGATCTACGTGTCATGGTAGACATGAAGGATTAGAGAAATCACGATACTCGGGGCAACAAACTTTTCGGTAAAACAAAGAAGAAAGCAAGGCATTTTGCTTTGTTAATTCAACAAAGAAATGACACTTAAACAAAGATGATGGACTGAGATTGTAACTAAACCGACTCAAATAACGCAATCCTGATTGGGACACATATGATGGCTACAACCAGAATCCAGAAGCCATGCATTAAGTAGTACCTATTTTCGCTAAAATAGCACCACACCGTCTTCTATGTTTTACCTGTTTTTGATCGATTAGTACCTGTTTTTATGAACAAAAATGGATTATTTCAATTTTGGTCGACATTTATAAAAAATAGTACCAGACATAAAGTAAGATAATACCAATTTTATATTGTTGTAGTGCCTGATATTGGGTCTTCAATACCACTTGTAATGAACATATAAAAACATCGAATTTCGTTCTCAAATGACATTTATATGACCCATAATCATTCCCACATTCGTTTATATGAGATTTAAAATGTTTTTCGTTGAGTATAATCGTAAAGTGGTTATGAACTCGACACAATAATGAAAAAACACTACTAATAAACTTCATCATTGAATGACACACTTCATCTCAAAGAATCACCATACATGACTACTCTAAATTCTAACTATATATTTTAACTTCCACTATTTTCCAACCAAATTACGTGTTAATGATACGCGTGACATGGTAGACACGGAGAATTCAATAAATCACGATTGCTAAAACTGTACCAGTTTTTACATAAATTGTACCGCTTTTTCTTCAGCGTAGTACCTGTTTTTAATCAATTAGTACCTACTTTTGGTCAACGAAAATAGATTACTTCAATTTTGGTCAACATTTGTGAAAATTGGTATCTGACCTAGAGTAAGGTAGTACCAACTTTATGATGTTTTAGTACTAGATATCGAGTCTTTACTACCAACTCCGACGAATATAAAAAAAAAACATCGAATTTTTGTCTCAAATGATGTTTATACGACTCATTACCACTCTCACATTAGTTTCTACAAAATTTAAAATGAGTTTAATTAAAATTAATCACAAATTGGTCACAAACTCAACACATACAAGAAAAAAAACAATTAATACACTTCATCTCATTAAAAGACACAATTCATCCAATTGAATGATCATACATGACTACTCTAAATTCTACATATATGTTTTAACTTCCACTACTTCTCAACCAAATCACACGTGAACGATCCACATGGCATGGTGAACATGAAGGATTAAAGAAATCACTTACTGAAACGGTGCCAGTTTTGACAAAAATAGTACCCCTTCTTCTTTTGCGTAGTACTATTTTTTTTTGAATCAATTAGTACCTACTTTCGGTCAACGAAAATGGATTACTTCTCAAGCTATCATATTCTACTCTTACTCTTTCTTATTTAGTTCATATAACAATTGTTATTATAAATATGTATTCGTTTTATTTTTAAAATCTTTATCAATTTTTATTTTAATTTTATTTTTTGTATGTTTTATATCAAAATAATCATATTTTAATGATTTTCGATTTAACGTCCATATTGCATATATAAAATAAAAAATAATTACATCTATCATTATAAATAAAACTATTTTTATTAAAAAAATAATTTCAAAAATATGAATCCACATAAATTATTTTATAACAAATATAATAAAAATCTAATTCAGTAATATAATCTTATCTAACGGCCATTTATATTGAAATTATATTCCTTTTAGTGTATTAAAATGTTTAGAACGTAATTTGTAGCGTTTGGCTCTTACACTATGTAAGATTAGAGAATTGGGGCAAGAGAGTGCGGTCCCACCAGATTAAGCGCACCATAAGAGGGTGAGCCTAGATGCACCTTAGTGGGGTTCCATCCCAAAACCAATTGGTGATGGGAGGAGTAGCCCACTAGGCTTATATACTAGACTCATTTTCCCTATAGATTCAATGTGGGACAACTCACAAGTGATACTCCAACACACTACGAAACTTAAGTAGAAATTTGTTAAGAAATTACACTAATAATAACTACTATTTAATTTTATTATGAAAATTAGAAGGTTGATGAAATATAAAAATCCTTGTTA